TTTTGTGGATGGGGATGTATATTGATTGCTTCCAATCTGTTGACCATTTTTTTTTCATATCTCTTGACATATGTTGGTTAGCACTAGAGTTGTCTCTGTCAATACTGATTGCAATAGTTCTATTGGAATATCATCTGTTCCTGGAGTCTTGTTTTTTGCCATTTCCTTTATTGCAGCTTCCACCTTAGTTTTTAGAATTTGGGGTTCATCTTCATATGGCTCCATGTGTCCTTCATGTTGCCATCTCTTTTATATAACTCTTCTATGTATTGCATCATCGTCTTTTTATTCCTCCCTGGTCTTGAATTATGTTATTTTTATTGTCATAGAGAATCCTGGTCCTTGGTTTGAATTTTTCTTTGCTTTCTTGGATCTTGTGAAATATGTCTCTTGTTCTTCCCTTTTTCTTGTTGCCTTCTATTTTTCTGCATTTGTTATTATAGTAATTTTCCTTATCTGTGCACATTAAGTGTTGTACTGTTGCATTCATGGTTCTGAGTTTATTCCTATCGCCTTTTTGTTTTGTTTCTCTTCTTTCCTTTATTGCTTGTAGCATTTTATCTGTCATCCATGGTTTCTTCATTTTCCTTTTGTCTGTTGGAAGTGTCTTTATTCATTCTCCTTTTATAATGTCCCTGGCTTCAGGTCAAAGCTCTTCCGGTTCACAATCTATTATTCTTAGTACTGCAAATCTGTTTCTTATATGGTCAATGAATTTTGTGGAAATGTTGTTTAAATCATATTTTGTTTACATCATATTTTGGTATGATGACTGGTTTTGGTGTCTTCTATTGTTTTTTTTTTTTTTTCTATTTTTGAAAAGAGTATTTTGTGATCTGTGCCATAAGCAGTTCCTGGTCTAGTCTGGAGCTTTGCCATCTTTTACTTCCACTTATGTAATCTATTCGGTTTTTGTGTTGGCCATCTGGTGATGTTTATGTGTATAATATGTGTTTGCAATCAATAGGTTGTTGGCTTCACAAAAATCTATCAGACGCTCACCTGCTTCATTCCTTTTGCCTAGTCCAGGAGTAGGCAACCTTTCCCCTTTAAGGGCCGAGGGACTTCAGCTCCCAGAATCCCAGGAGCTATTGGCCAACATGGGACTGTTGGCCAACATGGCTGAGGCTTCTGGGAGCTGAAGTCCCTAGGCCCTTAAAGGGGAAAGGTTGCCTACCCCTGGTCTAGTCTAAATCTGCCCACTTTTTTTATTCTTCTTTACTTCCAACCTTTCCATCCCAATCTCCAAGGGTCAGCTTGACATCCTGTGTTGGTGTGTTGTCAATTTCTTCCTGTATTTGTTCATAAAATCTATCAATTTCTTCTTGTTCTGCCTCAGTGACTCCAAGATGTGGGTCTGCTTGACCCCTAAGTTGAAGTAAAAGAATATTTAATTATTAACATAAGAATATAAATCAATATGATATACGGATTTCAACATCAGTATTGTACAAATTACTATTGACACTTGTGTTTTCAAGAATTGACTGGTGAAGACAGACTTCCAACTAATCCAGTGGATGTTTTGTATTATGGATATTAGTATGTTATAGAAATATAGCAACTTATAAAAGATATATGGATGGTTGCATAGATAGCTAGGTAGACAGACAGACAGACAGACAGATTATAGGTGACTTGATAATATATGTAGGGAGTTCTTGTAGCACCTTTGAGACTAACTGAAAGAAAGATGTTAGCAACATGAGCTTAAGTCTACTTCCTCAGATTCATTTGGTAGAGTGGAACGCCAGGGACAGCCATTTTCCCTCCATATCATTTCTGGAAATAATAGTACATGATCATAAAGTATTGCATCCTGGGGTGATTCAGGGGAATTTTCAGAAGTACATGGAAAACTATGGCCCCAAACAGATCAGCTTAAAAATCCAGCTTCCACATGACTTCGGGACATGGCAATAACATGATACATGCCCCCAAACCATGCAGAAGTTGCACTGAGGCTGAGCCTAGGGCAGCCAAAAAGAAGGAATTTTTTTCCACTTCTTGCCATGGTCTATTTGCAGGGGTAGGCAACCTTTTTGAGCCGGGGACCGGGTTGCTGTCCCTCAAACAATTGGGGGGTGGTGAAGCACCAAAAATAAATAAATAAATAAAAATAGATTTTTTTAAAAAAAATATGCATGCACACTCTCTTAGCCCCAGAAAAGCCATGGCAAAACCCCTGTGGAGATTTTGCCAAGAAAACCCCAAGAACAATACCAACAATAATCAATATCATTATGGCGGGCAGCAGCAGCAGCGGTGGCAGGACTGGCCTGGGGCCAGTCCAAAGTTCTTGGGGGGGCCTGCATTCGGCCCCGGGCCTTAGGTTGCCTACCCCTGGTCTATTTGGGACTGTGGCAGACACCCTTAGGGCCATGGTGTGTGGTTGCTATGACCCAAGGGTGATCGGGCTGGGAGCAGCTTCTGTCCACTCCTTCCTGCCTATCTATTTCACCCCTATATCTAGGCAGCTGCTGGAAGCAACATTTGGCTTTTTTTAAAGGATGAAGAAAACAAATCCAGTATTGACCAGCTTGCAAAATGTAAATCTTTCCACTTGAAAGATTTAGAAGACATCATTCTACCTCAAAATATTCTTTCCATTCTCTCTCCCCCCATTCTCTACAATAGCCTGGGTGCCTTACACATTTATAGGGCTATGTTTCCAGTTTAACTTCTATGACAATACAGTATAGTAACCTAGGATTTGCAATTTAGGTTACTCAGACTTCTCTGCCAGAGAGCTCCATTGTCTCACCAGTCTACAAAACCCAGAAGTCCATAAAATGCAGCCATGCCTGTTCAAATGGATTCATAATCTTATAACTGTGTAGTGCAAAAGGATCCCTGGTGGAGGTGAGGATATGATGGTGGGAGAATAATGCATAGCACTATTGTATATTATAGTGAATTTAGTAAAGATGGAGCAGTTGTCTCTGGGCATCATGGGTAAGGAAAGGAGAAGGAACATACTTTCAAAAGACATCATAAGTTGTTGAAATAAACATTTCTGCTCTCTGTTGATAACTTGGTACAAATATTCTAAACCTTCAAAGAAAGACAGTGGGTAGACATCCCAAATATTGGATCCTATATATCATGTAACAGCATGCTTCACCTCTGCTTGGTGCCATTTAAAAGTGCGTCCTATTTTATCTCTTTGATATTTATGTGGATATTGGATGAACTGTAGTATTTATGGGGAAATGCATCATTTATATTTGCTTGTCACAGTCTTCAGCATGATTGCTAACTCATCAAAATAACTTGTAGACACTATAAAATGTGGACTACTTAACAGGGCAATTGAATACCAAGTGGTTGGATAAGATGTGTCATGATACTATGTATCTCCTTTTGATGGAGAAAACAACAACTTCAGATGTATACAAAATTACAATATAGTAATTGGAAATTATTACTGATTTGTTTTCCATTTGTTTTCTTAGTTGCCATTCTTACTTTTTGTGTGTTTTCATTTCACCACCAGCCTCTTCTTTGTCAAGAAATTACTACCTTCAGAGCCTATTCAAAGCTTCAAAGCTTACGTCTAATCTGAGTCTGGGAACAATAATATACAAACAAATGGCATTTTTTCTTTTTCTTTTAAAAATTATACACAGGTTCTCACCCTGCTCAATTTTTTTTATAACATGTTCTCCTAGTTTAAAGGGATTCATTTCTAAATATGTATTGAATGGCATGCAGAACTGAAACAATAACATACACAATGGATGGGGTTAATACCCAAGGTACTTGAGTGTATATCTGTTTTGGGGTGCAGCACTCAATCATAATTTATACATTATGCTTGCAGTTTTTTAAAAAAAACTTTTTAAATTAAATTTTAAACAAACAATACTAACAACACAATACAAACACAGAAACACACAAACAAATTAACAAACAAACAAAAATAAAAACAGCTTCCTAAACTGTACATGAGAAACTTCCACTTTCCTCTTTACCTATTCTAACTCCTTTTTTACCTGTTCAAAATACACGCAAAATCTTATATAAAAAAAATATGGATCTAATGAGAATTCTTCTTATCTTTAAATATCAAATGATTTAAATCCATTTGATAAAGTTACTACCTTATAATGTTCATTACTACTATAGTGTAGTATATAAATAATAAAATACAAGGAACAAAGTTAAACATTCATCTATTAAATATGCCCCTATTCAACTCATATTGTCCTCGTGTCAAATACCATCATTTTAAGTTCGGAGATAACAGATCGTTCTTGTAACCTATTTACTCCGCAAATACCATATATCTGTATCCATTAACACTTTCTTGTATATAGGAGACCTACAATTTCCATTCTTTATCAAAACCAGATAACGTCCTGTTTTTAGTTAAATATGATATTTTGTTCACTTCATAAAGGTCATAAACTTTTATTTTTCACTCCTCAATTGTGGGAATGTCTTTCCGTTTCCAGTATTTAGCGTAAATCATCCTGGCCACTATTATAACCAAGAACAGGAGTTTCCCTTCATCCATTTCCAGTTTTGAGTCTTCAACAATATTCAAAAGATATAATTTAGGGTCCGGACGCTTTAAGTTAAATATTTTCCTCATTTCCACATGTATTTTCTTCCAATAACTTACTGCCACACAGCAATTCCACCACATATGGAGATATGTTCCAGGCTCATTCCCACACTTCCAACAAGTGGATTTGACTCCCTTAAACATTTTAGACAATTTATATGGAGTCAAGTACCACCTAAACAACAATTTGTACACATTTTCCTTTAATCCAACACTAGTTGCATATTTAATCTTTACACTCCAAATTTTTTCCCATTGATCTAATTAATAATAATA